TACCCAGCTACAAAAAACAATGGTGAACTAGCATCTCTTATATTATCCTATATAGAGCTTGAGCCCATCCTTCGAAGTGAGGTATCACAAGAATGGAAAAACAAGCAGTATATGTACTTGCCATCAAATTGCTACTAACAGATCAACACTAAGCACTTATTCATTATTCCAGATGTTGGGATACATCAACATACATGTTTCAGTCCTTGTGGAGATTACCTTCTAGCTAACTTCTAAAGTAATGAGTAGTTCTAAAAAGTTACATTAGAAATATTTTTTTTTTATTGAGACAAGTGAAAGTATATAGAAAAAATTCCCAATGGCTTGAATTAAAGCCAGGAAGTAGGGCACATATAATTTCCAAGTTGGAAGGCATAGAGCTGAAGGCAATCACAAAAATAAAAAGCCTGGAGTTCATTCAAATAGGACAGCATTAGGGAAGAAGCTGAAGTTAGGGCAATCAACCAGAGAAAAGGGGCTCAGGACTTGAAGGTAATAGAGCCTGAAGCAACTGCCTGAGTCTTTACCAAGCAGCCACAGGTAATTTTTATCGGGGAATTTAAATTAAGCCATGTGTGGGAAGGGAGTTGTTAGAGAAGCCATTCCAGCTTGATCAACCTTCTAAGATTGTGCTCTTGCTAATTGTACAGCAGTATATTTCCCAGGGTGCATTGTGAGAGACTCTAAGATAATGCCGTGTAATCAAAAGGTTTTAGAAAACATATCTTCTGAGTCCAACACTTGTCATATATATACTTTTTCGGTACTGGTTAAGTAAGGGGATTCACTAGAGGTGAATCTTACTGAATCGGAAATAAATATTGTGAAAAGCTGAAGCATATGAGGCAGGTGTACTTCACAGGGTGCAGGAATTTTCAGCATATTTCATGAATTTGTCTCACAGGAGGATTGCTCTGTTGGTCTTTGTGTGTGTGTGTGTGTGTGTGTGTGTGTGTGTGAAAAGAAGGATAGGTGGAAGCTTAAGGATTCCCTATATTTCACTTCATTGTGTAGTCTGCTGTATGTGCAGGAATCTTTGTGAGTGTGTATAGGTAGCCCTGGCTTTTATTTGTGTAAAAAGGAGTGTTCTGAGTAGAGAAGTGCAATAAATAATGTGATACATAGAAATGTTGTCAGGGAGGTTATGGTTAATTTCTCAGTTAAATGCTCCACTTAAGCATATAAAAATGGCAAGCAGAAGCAGTTGGATGGGCTTTTCGAGGTTTATTATAAGAGAAGTCTGAATTCATCTTATTTCTGGAGGAACAGAAAAAGTGCAGGAAAACAACAATCTGGAGAGTGATGCCAAAGGAGCTAGGGACTTGCAGTTCTGGGAATGTCCTGCCATCTGCACAGTCTGTAATCAAATAAAGCACTTGTGGTGAGCATGGCTCAGATACCAGAAGCTTAAGAATTGAAGTATCACCCTGAAATGCAATAGAAGCTGAGGGTCACACTGGGTCCCTAGAGATCAGGGCTTGCTTTGAAGGGACAGTAGAACTAATCCTGGAGTAGCAGTGCTAAAATGGCTATTACTTCTCCTGAACCCAAAGGCCTGTGAGACATTTTTTCATGATTCGTATAAAATGGGGTTACATAATTGCAATATCCAAACCAAGAGGTAAAACATAGAAACAGGAGGGCAGAATAGGATAAGAAATCAGACTGGAGAACTTGAGAGATTTCCTTAGATCCTGCAGCACACAGATATTTGTCTAGAGTACTTACGACAGCTTAAGCAATGATATCCATAAAAAAATAGCCTTTTATTGTTATTCTATTTTAATTGCTATCTCATTGTATGTAGACCAAGTGCATTGATAAATACTTTTAGGAAATTATTGAGTTATATAAATATTCCTTGCAATGGGACACTAAATATGTATTAGCTATAAAGTTTAAAGTAGTAAATATCTGTTAGTTATATACTTTAGTTTATATATATAACTAAGATTTATAAATAACATATGATATATTAGTTATTAAGATTAAAGTAAGAATAAATTAGGTTGACATCCTTGGTTTTGTTGCTTTGAAATGCTTAGACAAAGATGAAAGAAATTGTGCTTAAAATAAATACTTGATTTATTTAAAACCTGTATTAGGAATTAAAGAAAAATATTAATTCATAGGAATTACTTTTGATATCCTGAATTTTTGTGATATGAAATCATAAGTTGAGTAAAGAAAGAAAGGGAAATTTAGAAGTTTTGAAACTGCTGCTCCATTGATTCAAAAGAACATATAGTATAGGTTTAAATAAGTAAGAAAATAGATAATTCTGTAGCTTCCATTATTTTCTACTCACTCTGGATTCTGCTACAATTAGTGATTTTCCATCTGCCTTTGGAATTCCCATTGATGTAGGTATATGAACTCAGTGTCATCTCAACTACACTTAAATATTTTTATTTTTTGCAAACATCAAGAACAAATGTTTGTTTCTTTAAGGAATCAAAATTTTGCAGTGTTTGGTCCTATTATACTATGTCTTGATTGTGATATTTTTGAAAGTGGATGGTCTCTGAAGCTTGATATCAGTTTCCTTCTTAGCTCTCCACCACTTTCTTCAGATATTAGAGTCATTCTTGAAGATATATTTTCCATCTTCTTAAGTAGAATGTAAGTCCCAAGAAAGAAAAACAAATCAAAATAAAACCTTAGAAACTAAAACTCTGGCTCTCACATGAGCATCCAACAAATATTTATTAAATAAATGAATAAATAAAACTTAAGCCTTTTAAAATCCAATAAGGAGAAATATGCAGTGAAATACGAGATTATTAACATGGGAAATTTCTCATTTTCTCCCTAATATTATTTAAAAATGCATCAGATTTTTCCTTCTTAATATTTTCAGTTATAAATGTTAACTAACATAAGCAATCTAATAAATAGTAATGTACTGTCTGTAAAATGTAGTAGTTTGGACATGAGAAATCTCATGGATTCAGGATTTTGACTTCTGTAGACTCATGAAATGTCTCATGAAATGTCATTTTATTAAATGTATAACCAGCACTGAGTAGTTTATTGAAGTGTTAATAATACCTGTATGTTTTTATGTTATAACCTACTGAGCATTCAAGCAAGTCAAAGAACCATAAAGAAAGTCTTCCTTACCTTTCATTATTTATACTGTGGAATCACACATAAATGTGTGAAACTGTGTGACAAATCTTTTGTTTATGAGGTGCAGAGATAGAAAAAGTAAAATGTTCCACTGAATTTCCTACTTTTACTATGCCATTTTATAAATGACCCTCTGTTTAAGTTAGCTATAAGTTATACGAGTCCAATTGGCCCAAAGCAGATTAGAAACACATTGAAGCTGATATTTTAGTGATAGGAATATAGTCTGAAGCCATTCAGAACAGAAAATGGTGCTAGGTTCATATCCCAAATCATTATGTTATTGCACTATGAATTATTTAAAAAAATCTTCCTCTTTCTGCTGATTTGGAATTAAATATCACAAAATTTTATATATCTATCTCTATCTATCTATCTATCTATCTATCTATCTATCTATCTATCTATCTATCTATCTATATCTTTTCACTTTCTGGACTCACAATTCTATTCCATTGGTTGACCTATTAATCTTAGTGCCAGAATCAAATCATTTTAATTATTATATCTTTGTAATATTTTATATTTTGTGAAACAAGTTTCTTTTGATTTCACTTTTTCTGTCAAAAATGATTGTATTTAAAGTTTTAATCTTCCTGTTGAACCTAAATTATTTTTGAGTTTCATAAAATATGTACTTATTATAATCATATTTACTTATAGATGAGATAATTTTACAAAGAATTGACACCTTATTAACATTGGGTTTCTCATTAGGGACCACAGTATATTTTTTCAATGAATCAGTTCTGATTTTGTATCCGTAAAGGAAGTTGTGTAGCTTTGTTAATATCTAGGATTCAATGTACTTGATTAAATGTACTTGATAGTTTTTATGGTATGTGCATTAGAATTATTATTTTTATGAGTTGGGTCTTGCTTTTGATTGCATTTTATGCAAGATAATTAGATATATAGAAAACATATAAATTTTGCACATTTATGTTGTAACTACTCATTTTACTTTTATGTTAAAGGGCATGACCATTTAAAGTGGACTCTCCCCAGATTTAAAGTAGTTAATGTTACCATCTTCAAGTCACAAATATGTTGTCATTTTTTTCTAAATTATAAGTCTTATTTTCTTTTCATAATTCGTTGTATTGTCTAGAAACTACAGTTATGAATTATGGTGATGATAGCATATTTAAATAGAAGTTTTTATTTCACTGATATGTTTTGATTTCAAAAAAATTCTTAAACAAATTAAGAATATTTATTTTGCTTATAGATTTTGTAATTGATCCTATTAACATGGAATGTTATATTAATATAATTTTTCATATTACTGAGCCATCCTTTGATATCCTTTCTCTTATGGCCCCTTTCCATATATAATCAATGTTACAGCCTCCCACACCCTACCATGGTTCACTTTTATCACTAATATTTGGGTAAAATGTTCTTTTATTTCCAATTAGAAATTGGTTCATACTTGAGTATGGTCTCCTAGCTCTCAAACAGTATTTTTAATGTCGGGTAGCTGCTTTTTCTCTTCTCTTTATAAGACACTAAGCAAGAAATACAATTTTTTTTTTTACTTATTCAAAATATACCCAACAAATGATGTTGAACATACCATTTTCCAAACATTTCAAAGTAAAAAATAGAAACAACCTGCCATAATGAATTTTTCAATAATTATATATCTCCTTAAGCTGTTTATGACCATTTAGGTAACATTTATTTTGTATTATTATATTTTCATAGTTCAAATTACTTTTGTGAGTTGCTACCAATTCACCAGGTGACAAATCCTAAGTCACAGTGATAGTAATATGCAGAAATATTTACCTTTTAATTTATTTTACTCTTTTCTCTCTGGAAAACTTCAGGGTCCTTAATTTTCAGACCAAAAGTCAAAGTGTCTTCCTAAAATTTTTGCCCTTGCTTCTCTCCCCACCTAGGCCAAGAACATATATGACAAAATAACAATTTTAATACAATTTCTGAAACTTCCCATCTGTACTGCTTGAATAAACTTAGTTGGTTCCATAGAAATGGGCATGTTTTGCTAATAATTCTGCCTTGGCCTTTTTAAAGAAGTGAATTCACTTTTTCAAATTCTAAGTTTAAAATAATAAGTAAGATACATGCTGGTTTCATAAAATAACATTTGAATATTTACACTGTTCCCTATGAGCTTGAAAGGTTTATATTAAATACAAATTTTCTATTTCTTACATGTTAATTGAAGTTAATTCTTCAAGATATGAGGACATGACAATAATCCTTAGCAAAATTCTATAATTATGGTTATTTAATTGGCATCTAGCTCTCATTTCATTTTTTCCCAAATATCTTCTTTTTAATTATAAGTTTTGTTAGTGTTATTATAGGAGATTGATAGATTACCTTCCAATTATATATCTTCTTTTTCTAATTAGATTAGACAATTCTACTTTTATAATCTCCAATATTTTCTATCCATTATTTTATAATACAACTTTTTGATCCTTATTTTAAAATTTAAATTCTCCTCCATTTAGTTAAATTATATCTTAGAGAATTCCATATATAAATACACCCCCAACAATGAGAAGACAGATTATTCTTTTCAACTGGACATATTTTTCATGTATTCTTTCATTTTTCATGTGATTAAAAATGATATAACATTGTATGCAAATTAAGATATAAACATATTTCAATGATAAATATAAATATTTTGATATTTATATTTAATATTTATAATAATATACTTATAATAATAAGTGCATTTATTTGTATATTAAACAATATATAAGGCAATTTATAACTAACTACACACTCAGAGCCTATTACCTGGAATTCCCTACAACCTTATCTATGGCGATCACAGTGACATCTTATTTTTGAAATGTTTTTGGAGATCAGCTTTTGCATGCTTCTTGTGATGATACAGGTTTCATGATATTAAGAAACGCCTTTCACAATAACATTGGCATATCAATTATATTTGAGGAAAATAGATGTGCTCAAATATCTTTCTTTTCATTATTAATTATTTCTTTTCAGCAATATGATTTTTAGCATTGCCTTTTATCCCACCCACCGAGTGTCAAGTTTTAACTTACTGTATATAATAAAAAAAATGGTAATGGTATATTGTTTTGAAATATGAGCTATCAGATCTCTACAAATGAATAGCTATCTAATGTAAGTATAGTAGTATGTGCTATATGAATAATCTCTTGAGATTCCCTGGAGGTTATCAATATTTGATTTCTTGTCAACTGAAATATGAAATATAGAATGTGCTTATGTATTGGATAGTCAATGTTTTCATAGTTTGCATATGTAATTGAAAGTAGGATTTGGACTACTTTTATTATAGAAAAGCATTTTCTCAACTACATAGTAATCCAGTGTAAAAAGACTTATAAAAAAGCCTTCTAGGCACAAACCGTTAAAACCTGTTTGGTCAGCAAAGCTGGTATGTAGTTTTGTGAAAATGAATTCTGCTGAAAAAATATCTTGTGCTTTCCTGTTTCAGAGTTGCCTGAAAATATGGCACTGCCGGAATTGCATTAACCATGGATTCTTCTGAGTCCTATTTTTAGATGTAATTGAGAATACTGACGGAATTATTTTTTTGAAGAGCATTTAATGTAAATCGAGTCTAAAATTACAACATTACTAAAGGTTTGGCCAGAGAAATTATTTTATTGACTTAATGACATCTTTAACAAATTAAACTTAGGTTCTAAGTGGATGTCCTGCAGAGCAAGAATATTCAATATGGTACTTATTAAATGTTGGTGTCTGCATTATTTCCATGGAAATTCTTTTCTCTTATTGTTAGTTTCAAATGAGGACTTTTATTATTTTTTTCTTCAAAATATTTTGCAAGCCTCTCCAATGTCTTGGTTTGAATAAGTAATAAAAAATATATGAAAGAACTTGTTTAATCTTAATTGCTTTGCCCTTATCCCAGCCTCTGAGTACAGAGAAACACTTTCAGATGCATTGGAAAGCCAAACGAAAAAAATAGTCATGAGCATTTGGATTTGAAGACAGGAAAGAAACTTGTTCTAAATGAGTTGTCTAAATAGCTCTGTCTTGGGAACAACTACAGGACGTGTTGCTGGGTCAGGGAACTAAGTTAAAAGACATGTGACTGCCTGCTTAAAGTATAATACAAAAAGAATTAGGAGGCAGGAAATATAGATCCTAGTTATTTTATGTATAAAATGGGATTTGTGCTATCTCCTTTATCATAACAACGTTGTCTTATGCAAAATAGTGTATGTGAAAGTACTTTGTAAATACTTGTAAAATAATATATGCTAGTAAAATAATATATACTATTAAAAGTAAATAGTTATTTTTTGCCTATTGCTTGATATATGCCAAGTACCTTTACATATAATATTATTTAATTGCTACAATAACCCTATGATAGGTAAATTCTTATTATTACTTTGATACTGAGGAAAAGAAGCTTAAGAGTGGTTAGGTAACTGGCCCAAGCTCACACAACCAGAGATGGTAGAGCTGGGATTTGAAAGCAGGCACATCCATTATGCCAGACTGACTCTATTGTAGAAGTATCAGGTATTTCTTAAATTAACAGTAAATAGGGAAAGTAGACCTATTATATCTCTACATTTTATTGTAAATCTAATATTCTGTGCTTAAGTATTTTTTTCAGTGCACCTGTCAGAAGATTTTTAAATGTTATATAAACTTTAGAAAGCTTAAACATGCTTAGTAATATTCTGGAGACATTCCTGTCATAGTCTCGAATATAGATAGGGCATAAAAGGATAACTAGAATAAGAAGAGAAAGAGAGTAGAATTGCTGAAAGAACTTGGTGAAAAGAAAGGATGTTGGCTTAGATAGTAGAGTCAAGAATTAGCAATAAATTTCAAAGAAAAGCAAATGTTTCCAGGTAACATATGAGTTAATTAAAAGGAAGACATTCCAATTGACTAGGATTCCCCAGTGAACTATCTCTGGAAGTAAAGCACCAGAAACATACTGTGCCTATTAACAACATGATCCACTGAGCTTAACAAGGCTTAATACAATAAGAATAATAATACTGCTTTATAGTTCATAAGGCTTTACAATTTTACTTATCATTTATACAAATCTTATCTCATTAAATTCATTCTCAAGTTTTACTAGGAGCCTGGTTATTATAACAGGAATCTAAGGCCTAAAGTATCATATTTCTACTGGACAATCACTACACATTTGGTACCTGTCCTCATCTCATTTAAGATTTACAGCAACCCCAAAGGTAGATATTATCATTCCATTATTACTCATGAGGCTCAAAGACCTTTAATAGAATACAAGAGAAAAAACTAAGATATTTCAGAACTGCTTATTGAATCTATTAAATCACTTATCTTTCTAGAAGTAAAGTATTGAATTCTTCAGATAAGGTTGTTTATTGCCTATATATCTCAGCCTCACCAAAATCACATTATGAAGCTATTATTAAGTGATTAGAGTACAAATACACCTAAGTGGTCCAATTAGAATTATTGTTTTTGGTTAAACTAGAGTTACAGAAATCTTAAATTACTTGCTGCCTCCTCTTGTACTTTTCACATTTGGGTCTTTGGTGTTGAGTTTGCATCTATGTACAATTTGTTTTAGAGCCAGACTGCCTGGTTGTGGAAATTGAAAATTCTCCTCTAAATGTGTGACTTTGGGTAAGTTATCAAGTATATATTTTCCTCAGCTTCCACATCTGTAAAATGGTCAGAAAAAAGAACCATTCTGGCTTAATGGGATTCTGTGAGGATTAAATGACAATCCTCCTGCTAAAATAGTGTCTGGTACATTTGAGCTTAATAAAAGATGGTTGTCATTATAATGATTATTATAATATTATTACTATCTAAGGACAATATTCCCTGTAAGGTTGATTTTCTAATATTAACAATAGCCCTAATAACATTGTTCACATATTTAATAAAAATGTTAAGTAAAATTATAAAATGCTATAAAATGTAAAGTAGTTTTATTATTTTTATGGGGTCAAGGTCTTGTTAAATTCCATAGTCCCTGGTATTAATAAGCACAATAACTTTTTTTATATTTCACTTTTACAGACTCATTGGAGAATTTCATATATTTGGAATTCTTTTCTTTTAATTAACTTATATGCTTCCCCCAAACATTTTTCTCTTTGGTCATTATTGCTACTTCTTGATAACTTATCATTAGCCAACATACCAACCAGTGATGATGATGATGATGATGGTGATGAATAAGAAAATGTTGAAGATGATAATGCTGATCATAAGGATGATAGCAATAACAGAAGTCTTATAATGTGCCAGGCACAAGGAAATTTTTATCAATATTTCAAGAGAGACAAAACAGAGAATCTTGACTTGCAAATAGTATCTATTTTGCTGGTAAAAATATGTTTCAAGTTGAATATTTTTGCTCTATTTTTCTCATGTATTAAATGATGGTGTTTGATTTCCAAATTTCTTTTCCCCCTAAAGTTTAGTTGGGAAACCAAAATTCAGGTAAATAAGTCTGAAGAAAAAAATGCAAAGAAATCCTTTTTGTTCTTTCTGGTTCTCCTTTTCTGTCTTTAGGCCAAAGACATCTTATTTCAAATTATTACACTAGGGCACTTTCCTAAAATGTGCTTAATTGCACTCAAAACTCAATCAATTATCTCAGCATATGGTAGGGAGACATACTATCAGATTAGAAAGAAATTTCAAATTTCCTCAAACTTAAACTTTTATTGAAAAAGTCCAGGATTTATGATAAATCATGGTTATCTTACGATTCAGAAATTTCTGAACATGTCTGAAAGACTGGTGCTTCAGACTTAGAAGACATCCATTTGAATGAGAGCCCAAGACACCTCCAGGAGTGTGTGTGTGTGCATGGGAGGGGTGACAGCAGTCGTGGAGAAAACATCCTAAGGGAAAGGAGAGTGA